CAAAGTTGGCATTCTAGCCTCCAGTAAGATGTTTGGATATAAATATCAATCTGTTATGGTATTATGTAATATACTATATATCAATGGGGGAGACAGCAAGACTGTCCTCAAAGTTGGCATTCTAGCCTCCAGTAAGATGTTTGGATATAAATATCAATCTGTTATGGTATTATGTAATATACTATATATCAATGGGGGAGACAGCAAGACTTTCCTCAAAGTTGGCATTCTAGCCTCCAGTAAGATGTTTGGATATAAATATCAATCTGTTATGGTATTATGTGATATATATATTACATAATACCATAACAGATTGATATTTATATCGAAACATCTTACTGGAGGCTAGAATGCCAACTTTGAGGACAGTCTTGCTGTCTCCCCCATTGATATATATTATATTACATAATACCATAACAGATTGATATTTATATCCAAACATCTTACTGGAGGCTAGAATGCCAAATTTGAGGAAAGTCTTGCTGTCTCCCCCATTGATATATAGTTATATATCAATGGGGGAGACAGCAAGACTTTCCTCAAAGTTGGCATTCTAGCCTCCAGTAGGATGTTTGGATATAAATATCAATCTGTTATGGTATTATATACTAAACCCAGCCTTTTGCTTTTCTTACTATTTTTTTTTGTATAGATGTAACATTGGCAAAAATGTGGGACGTTGCGGACTTGAGCACCTACATCTGCACTCTTTCTTTTTCTTCATTTTGTATTGAAATATATGAGACGAAACTTAAATTAAATCGGGCAGACCTGGTACCCCAAACGCAATTTGTGTTTTGTTCCACAGGTACCTAAAAACACACAAACGGCGCATTATATAATTACTCACCTTACGTTTTGTGACCCGGTGTTATGTGTTTGTTTTGTGCTTGTATTTTTATCTAATTATTTTATTTTTCTTCTCCACAAAATCAACTACAATTTACGATGATATTTCCACGTATTGAGTATGTGTTCTTAATACTCTTAAAAAATATTATTATTAAAAATATCGTATACCTTCACTGTAGGTGAGAAATCACTTTTTGTGTATCAGTACAATAAAATAGCGAAATTGTTGTGTTTCTTTTATATGAATTGCGCCTATATGGAAAGCATAAAGTTTGTTTGTTTTTTAGAAGTTAAGCACAAAGCTACACAATGGGCTATCTGTGCTCTGCTCACTACGGATATCGAAACTCGGTTTCTAGCATTGTAAGTCCGCAGACATACTGCTGTGCCACTGGGGCTACAGCATAAAGAAACATGAGATAACTAATAAGTAAGACGTTAGGATTTATCTATTGGTTCCAGTAATATAGTAAGCACCCAATCTCGTTTCTACACTTACTACACGTGTTAAAGAATGTTTCAACATGCTATCAAACGTGCATGAGTTAGAATCATAACAAGAAAATCGAACTACAAAGTGTCCAAGTTCCTTTTTAAAATAACAACGTGATTTTCTTAGTGTAGGGGAAGGTTAGGTAAAACGGTCCCCTTTGGTAAAACGAAATGTGATTTTCTAAGTGCCTCACGTAAATGAACATAAACATTCTTTTTAGAGGTTTTTTTCTATTTTAATATCAGTGATTTCTAATTTGTTTGGACAGATAATTTTACGGGGTGGAGAAGAAGTGACTCTACACTTATTTCAATGAGAACATGTTTGATTTTGAGCATCTTACTTTGGAATAAACAATGATTACATTACTTTGAATTGTAATCATAATATTTTATTTAGTACTATCCATATTATACCAAGTGCATATTATCAACTGTATAGTAACATTTGCCCCATTTGGAAAACCACAAATACAACCGACAACAGTATGTAAAATAGAACCATTGTTTTTATTACAATATTATTAAACATTTAAACAATAATGTTAGGTTTTGTATGTGAGAGCCGGGATTCTATACAGTTGGTTCTTGGGACTTGTTGGCAATAAATTTAAAGAATAAAATAACAGCACACAATCCACTTGTTTTGAAATAATATATTCAAAACAATTCAAACGTATATACACAAAATTCGTTACACTAGTGGTTATCACAGTTGTAACCAGAGTTTTAAATAATTGTAAATTTTTCGTCAAAGTCCACACAGGCTGATTCAATTACTTTAGAACGCCCTTTGACAAGACAAATTATTCCTTCCTATCTCTGTTATTACAATACAACTAGATCTATCTATATCTCAATCACTTTTACTTCAGTTCATTGTTGGGCGCATATTTATAAGTAGTCCGACTGGGGTCTAGAACTTTCTAGACGCTTCGAGACATTATGATGTAATAATATTCAACGAAACAACTAGAAAAACGTAGAAAGTTCTAGTAACATGACGCAACAATATAACAGTCACCGACTAGTGAACTACACAACGTATGATTTGTACATGGTTACGTGAACAAACCTGCGATAAATTATCACTTCTAAAAATACTAAACTTAACGCTCACGCTCTACAATTAAATTAAATCATAACTCGCATATTAAATGTAAATGAAACAGTCGTGTATATCTACTAGGACTTTAATTGAATACAGTGAGGTCAGCAATTTTGTCTTGTATCGAACGTTAAAAAAAATGAGGTTTTCTAATATTACAAATATTTTTTTTTTTAGAATTGGTAAAATAAATAATGTTTATCTTAAATACTAATAATAAGTACTTTAACGGCATATCACTATACTTTTTCCTATAAATTTTGCATGCAGATTATAATAGTTCACGACAATCGTAAGGCATTTTCCAAAATTCTACATAAATATTAAACCTTTCAGTAGTATACTTACACATAAAGTCACAGTGTAACGCATCATCTGGGCCAGCTTAATTGAGATTGGAGTTTCTTTTTCTGTATGAGTTTCAGCCCGCTTCCTATAACTAGATAATCTTCTGAACTCACGTGTGTTTATATATTGTGGAAAAATATACCGATACCTATCCATAGTCGGGGCCCTGTTATTGGGAACAGCTGTTAGAAGATAATTTATGGAGAGATACCTATCCATAATTGGGGCCTTGGCATTTGGAAACAGCTGTTAGAGAGTAATGTATCCGAGATCTGGTTCTGGAAATTCAAGCACCGCCCTAATATGCTTTTATAATATATGATTTGGCGAGAGGGACCAATGATATAGAGTGGGATGTACCAAAAGTTGCTGAAAGTTACCGAATGAAATGAGAACAGTAGGCATCTGGCGTTCAGCCATTGCAGAATATCGCTTTATGAACATCAACGGGGATCCGATTAGAATCCTGTTTGATAGAACATAAATCCATTTTCTTGTTTAGAAGTAAAGTGAAGAGTAGTGGGGAAACTTTTATTGATCATGAAATCTGAAATCTATTTTGTTTGAAGCCCAGTCCTTTAGAAGATTCTCTATCTGGTGACGTAAATAACTGATCTTACTCAAGAAGCGTTAATTTTAAACAATGATGAATATTAAAACATCTTTAATTACGGACGTTTCGGAATAGCTTCAAATACCATCATCAGCGTTAAAACCCAAAAAGTTAGTCCACAATATCCTAACTATAAAAAACAACAACAAACAAACAAAAAACGTTAGCTACTAAGCGAGTAGTTTTTTTTTATACAATCAAAAGTTTAGAAAGAACAGGTTTAAACGGTAACAATATAATGGAACGTATGATATACCGTACAGCATATGTTTAATAATATTGGTAATAGAAACCGTTATAAAGAAAGGCTTAAATATAAGTATAGACACTGCATCTTTAAAATAATAATAATATAATAAAAACAATGAGCATCTGGAATTGATTAAACCAATGACAATAGAGAGGAGTTGATGTTATTATTTAGTGTTAGGTGATAATTAAAAGGAGTGAAGGCCAACGGCGGATCCAGTAGGAAACTGGTGAAGAAGGCGGAAGAGCTAAGACCTCAGAAGACAACGTTTTTTCTTGCAAGCGGCGGATCTCTTGAGAAGAGCGGTGGTGATCTCTTGTAAACTTACCCGACAGAATGCAACCATTGTTGTAAAATACCAAGAATAAATATGGTCAGAAACAGAAAAGTTTCTCGACAATAGCGTGAATGGAGCCTCTTTTACAACTCTCAAAACGACCAATCTAAGTATAACATGATCTGTTTGTCTGCTTTACTGATTATGAAAAACTTTTGATAAGGTACAACGTGAACAACTTTTTGAAATGTTACAAAATTTAGACAAGAATGGGAAAGACCTCCGAATAATCAGAAACATATATTGGGAACAAACAGCATCCGTGAGAACAGAAGATCAACTAAATGAACATACAATGAGGGGTCAGAGAGGGATGTGTTTTCTCACCAGATCTATTCAACCTATACAATGAAATGATACTCCATGAGATACAAGACCTCCATGGGGTCATGGCTTGTGGGAAAAATGTAAACAATTTCAGATATGCTAATGATAGTGTACTTAATGGTGGATAGGAAGAAAGATATGCAGAACATCCTCAATAAAGTTGTATTGGAAAATATGAGAAAAGGACTGACCATTAACTGCAAGGAGATTGAATTTATGGTGACCACTAAGAAGAAGAAGGAAATACCAGAATATAGATTAGCCATCGGGAATGAAACCAATCAAGCAGGTAAATAAATTTAAATATCTTGGAATAATCAGATGGAAAATGTGATCACGAAAACAAAAGGCAAATAGGAATGGGAAAAGAGCATTTCTAAAGATGAAGACCACATTCACCAAGAACAAACTGACAGTTGAAACACGACTGAGACTTCTACAGTGTTATGTTCATTCAATCTTTCTTTATGGTTTCGAATGTTGGACAATATCACCAACAATGAAGAAACGCATCGACGCGGTAGAAATGTGGTTTCTAAGACAAATGCTTAAAATATCATGAAACACACACATACATATAATAAAGTTGTTCTAAAGAAGGCCAAAACAAAACGAATGTTGTGGGAAAACTTAACAAAAAGACAATAGAGTTTTATAGGACATATCATGGGAAAAGAAGAAATTGAAAACATCATTACGACAGGAAAAACCCAGGAAAGAAAAGTAAAGGAAGACAAAGACAGATGCTGCTATCAACAGTTGGCAAGGGCCTAGGAGAGATAGGGATCACTGGAAGACCATGCTCACAAACGCTCTAGATAGGCATAGTATCTAGGGAGAGATCATTGAAAATAGAGAGGTTTTCTTTCATAAAGAGTTCGTAATCTGTGGTTCAAGAGTAGAGAATTTTAAAGATTTCATTAAGTGTGGGTTGGTTGTTACTCCCACTAAATAATCAGATACGAGACTCAGGTGGATTAGTTAGCTTATATTCACTTCTAACTGAAATTCCCATGTGCTCGTGTGTGCATATTTAAAGATGACATAGCTTTACGAATACAGGTAGCTTTACAGTTCCACAAGTGTGTTTGTATACGCCTCACGAGTACATAGAGATGAGTAAAGTGTCTTTGGTTCTAAACAAGCTTTTATTTCTAAATGCTGATGTTGCTTAATTTGTGGATATTATGTCTTGATTATGTTTTGAATTTGAGATTTGAGTTTTAAACTTTGTTTGTCCATGAAAGGGGTGATAAAAACTAGTGGATACCTCGAGACAGCGTGTGGCTTTTTGGTAGGTTCTATTTTATTTGTTTAAAATGTCCGTGTGATATAGGGTAAGAAATGACAGCGTGTGGTTTTTTGGTAGGTTCTATTTTATTTGTTTAAAATGTCCGTGTGATATAGTGTAAGAACTTAAGAGGATAACCATTACTCCGTAATATGTTATGAATTTTTGAAATTTCTGAGACAGAAGTTATCAGAACAAATATTAAACACTATGTTTAGAAGACTTAGAACCAGGTTATGTTTGAAGGAGTCTGATACGAAACTGCCGAAGCGAGTGAATAAATCAGTAAATGTTTTCTTACGGTAAACAGACATAGCAAAAAGATTGTTTATTTTGTTTACTTGGACGTATAAAAAAGCTAAGTTATTGTTTTCTTCCAGTTCACATGTAAAGTTTATAGATGGATGTTGTGTGTTTAGGTATTTTAAAAACGTCTTGGCCTGATTGGTGTTGTGAAAGAGTATCACTGACGTATCTTCTGTATAATACTGGCTTGTAATAAGGGGGCTAGAAGGGGCTTTGCTCGTAGACTCTAAAACAAACAGAAGTATTATTGATT